AATGAATGAAAAAAAAAAATTAAATTAAATAAAATTCTTAAAAAAAAAAAAAAAGCCAATAAGGTAGCCCCTAAGGCAACTCAGATAAATAAGAATAGCTTATGTTTTAAACTCTTCAATGAGAAAAGCTTCACAGGATGTCTACCACCTATTCTACTGCCTCACACCTCTTGCCAAGATGTCTCTCACTTCGATTCTGGCTTCTAAAGCTTTAAACATATTCATCCTTATTCTCCCCTTATGATGGACAGAATCTCAGGATCTGTTTTCCAAGTAGCTTTTATTTTAAATTTAGAAATTTATCTTCTGTTTGGCTTGTGTTCTAGTTTCTCAGATAAATTACATCAGCCTCTTAAAGAACCACTAAATGCCCCCCCACACTCCTGGGGGGCCAGCAGGTGTCATGGTGGTTAAGAATGCTGGACACACTCACATGGCCAACCACAGTTTGAGTCCTGGACCTGATGGCTTGCTTTCTCACTCTCTCTCTCTCTTTCTGTATGTGTGTGTGTGTGTCTGGTCAAATTAAAATAAATAAAATTAAATAAATAATTCTTAAAAAAAAAAAAAAAAAAAACTCAGTCACCCCTAAGATTTCTGTTCCAGTAAACAACTTTTTCTTCAAAAGCCAACTCACAACTCTGTCACCACAACTGAAGTCCCTCTTGTCCTGGATACAAAAAAGAATTGAGAGGATGTGGGAGGTGGGGAAAAGAAAGAAAGAAACTTTTCACAGGAAGCCAAGAAATGGGTCTCTTGGCCATACCATAAAAGGTTGCAAATGGAGTGGAGTTGGAAAATTAACTCACAGTAGCTCTGCAGATACTTAAGTGTGCTAAGTTATAACAAAATACAAGAGTACTTCAAATAGTTTAGGAAATATGAAATTAAAGTACAAGCAAGTTTATTTTGCTGCAAAAAAATTTGAAATCCATGCAGTTTTTCCATAATATGTATTTTCCATGAACTTTCAGAAGACCTCTAGGCTAATCCGGAAAAGCCAAACTGTACATACTACAGATAAATTTAAAATGACAGTTTACACAGTAAGAAAATTCAATAAATTCCCTGAAAAAGCCTCAGCCTGTTGGCAGTCACTAGCAAATTGAATTGCAGTGCTAGAAGCTATATGGCTGGCCATAGGTTTGGATCCTCAGATTGGTTTACTGGATCTGGCAGGTGATATGGTGGTTAAGGTGCTGGATTCCCACAGGGCCAACCACAGTTCAAGTACTAGACCTGGTGCCTTACTTTCTCACTCCCCACCCCCTTCTGTCTCAGGTTGAATTTAAAAAATAATAATAGATAAAGTTGAAAAGATAATTAAAAAATAAAAAAAAAAAAAATTAAAATATGCCATCCATATGCCTGGTCAAAATCCTGAAAAGCTGGAGGGCTAAGAAAGAGGGTCTCTCTCTACCTCTCTCTCTCTCTCCATTTCCACACATGTACATGCTTTCTATTATGAATAAATAACTACATGCATGCACACACATACATATATGGGAGGGAGACTGTGTATGAGAGAGAGAGAGGGAGAGAGAAGGCTCCTGGATACAGCCACCCTATAAGAATGAAATGACAGGTCATTAACCTTTCAACTCAAGTCACTTATGGGAAACTTTTAGAATTAAAACCACTGGGGACCAGCAGTTAGCGTAATGGCTATGTCGCTGGACTCTCATGTAGTCGACAGTGGTTCGAGTCCCGGACCCAGCGGCTTAAACTCACACAGGGTGCATGAGCATGCGTGCCCAAGATCCCGAGAGGAGAAGGGATTGTGGCATGGCCATCCTCCCTGGGGGGTGATTTCTTGCTTTCTAGCTCTCTGTCTCTCTCTGTCTTTCTGGTGAGCGCACGCACCCTATAGCGAAAACCTCTCCAAAAAAAGAAAAAGAATTAAAACCACTGGTAAAGGGAATGGTTGTTCTTAATTTGCCTGCCCTTTTTCTTTTTGTTTTCTTAATCTATTTATTTGTTGTAATTTCCAAGCCACTGGGTCTGGGACTCGAACCATGGTCAGCCAAGTGGGCATCCAGCACCTTAACCATCATGCCACTTGCTGGCCCTTGCATGCCCTTTTTTAAGAACACGATCACTGCAACTCAGAAAGACTCCATCCATATGTAGGGTCTTCAAAAAGCTCATGGAAAGTGCATATGATGAAAAAAACTGCATAGATTTCAAAAATTTTTGGACCAAAATGAACTCATACTTTAATTCCATTTTACAATGAACTTTCTCAAGTATCTTAGTATTTAAGCTTTGCATTATTATTACTTAAAAGTTTGGCGAGGGGCCAGAGGTGATGTGGCATTTAAGAGTCTATACTCCCACATGGCCAACCATAGTTCAAGTCCTGGACCTGGTGGCTTGCTTTCTAACTTTCCCTCTCTCTCCTTCTGGCTCTCTCTGGTGAGTGCAAGTGTCTTATAGCAAATTTTAAAATAACAACAACAAATAAAATTACATAAATATTGTTTTTTAAAAAGCACTTGGTGAACAGCCAGCCACCGTGGTACAGCTGCAATATAATAACTCCACAATGCTGAACCCACAGTGGGGGTTTGCTTTCTGAGGGCTCCCTCTATGTGCTGGTCTTACACATGTGTGCCTATGATCCAGGCTGGCTGAGACTATGGGTGGATTAGCACACGCAGACTACTGAGGGTTGATCTCTCTGATGGAATTAATAAACTTAAAAGAGAAACAAATCAAAAAAAGAGGAAGCTTGATGACCACTGTTAAGAGAAGGGAAGGATGGGGGAGGCACCAAGGAAGTCTCGTAACGTCTCATGTTCTTTTCCCAGGCAGTGCCCTAGCTTAGCCCGGCCTGCCTCCCAGCCTCCCCATACCTCCTGTCCCTGCGCTCACCCTGTAGCTGCTCGATAAGTGTCCATGCCATCCGAGAGCCACTGGCATCAAACACCACATGGCCCTGAGGGAAACGTGGAGGAAGGCAAAGGGGATAAAAACAAGAGCAAAAAGAGAACATTAGGGACACTTTGAATCTTCTGTTTTTGATGTAATTGAGCTTCTGAATGAAAGCTATTTATGGCATTTGTCTGCATATAGGCCATACCCCAGATGCCCATACCCTAGATTTTAGAAACATTCTTTGGAGAAGCTTCACCCATGAGATTTAAATAAGAAAAATCGCTACATAGAGAACTAGGAGACCTGGGCTCTGGCTTTCTGGCCTCAGCAAGTCTCCAGATCCCTCTGGGTACTGCTTTTCCTACTTTAAAAGGAATGAGGAGGTTATCTTTCAAACTATTCCCTGTTTTAATACATTACAATTCTCATCTGACTCATAAATATCAGGACTGATTTGAAAATAAACAAAGGGAAGGGCTGAAATAAATGGAATACACTTTTTTTCCTTCTGGTGTTTTGTGGATTTTTCTGGTTTGCGGGTACCTGCTCCCCTGGTCTTAGGCCGATGATTACAGAAAAGTCACTGAGAAAGATGTAGTGGATGTCTGTAAGAGGAGCTCCAGGGGGGGTCTCTCACAAAGGGAGGGAGAGAGGACAATGAAGGGAGTTACTGTAACTCACAGAGACGCCCTCGAAGGATGAGGAGTTCATCGCCCGGTAGATCTGGTCAGTGATGGTCTGGTTGTTGTAGTTGAAGTCCTCCAGGCGCACACCCGAATGGCCACCCCCTCCAGAGGTCTTGTTCAGAGCCAATGCCAAGGCCCAGATGGCGTCATAGGCCAGTGGCGCCTCCTGGAAGCCTCCAGTCTCTTCAGGATGTCTTTTGAGTCGTTTGGTTAGCTTCTCTACGAACTCCTGGGATGTCTGAAGACGGAAGAACATAAGGATCAGAATGTGTGTGGGTGTGGTGGGGTGGGGGCAGGGGAGAGGCATCAGATTGTGGCTCACACACTTCCACGTGAATGGGTGAAGTGTATTCATGTTGTCAGGTTGAGCATATGTACATTCAAACTCTTTAACTGTACCCATGAGTCTGTCTTAGACTGGAAGCTACTAGACTACAGTAGGCATCATCTGGGTCCGATGGCCTCAGTGTGTGCAGCTGCCAGCTCAGGACTGCAACAGGAGTCGGATGAATAAACGCTCTAGATAATGATGGCAAAGAATAGAGAGCAGAGGCAGAGCAAAGAAAGACGTGGATATTTCAGCGAAAAGTCGTGACACTGATGTTCTCTCATCCTTCGGACTTGCTTAATAGGGTTGACCCAGGGTCTAACAGTTCCTCCAATTCTGAAAGATCCCAGAAGACGTGACATCACCACCTTTCTCACTGTGCTTATCATCTACAAAGACCGTTTCCGTGTGCGCTAACTTCTTGCCATCCTGGTGTACTCTCAGGTCACTGCCTCACTGCCTCCTTGGTGTTTCCAGGAGACTGAAGACTGAAGAAATACGCTTTCAAAGTCCATTATTTAATTCTAACCACACTCCTCCCCAACACTCATGCTTCTTTTTCCAAGAACGCTAAAAAGAATGATAGTTACTTTAACTCGCATTAAATGGGTCAAGAGAGGGGACTTTGTGTACTTGGCAGTAATCTTGTTTAGTTACTATAGATAAATACACAGGTAATAACTGCCGCTATTACCTCTTAGAACTGCCTTCCAGTTAACTGTAAAATTCACATCTTTCCTCCCTTGTCTCCCAGAAACCATATAAAGAAAGGCTCAGTAACTATTTCTTGGTAAGGGGCACTAAACAAATAATTGTTTGAATTTGGACTCTATTAACACTCTCACAAAGAAATAAGTAGATAAATGAATAATCAATAAATATCTTTGTTCCCCATGGCCTGTACATTTTTCTTCCAATTCAACTTTCTGGCGAGGTGGGAAGTGGGCTACAAAAGACACCAGCAGCACAGAACTGTGGGCACAGCTGGGCTCTACCCCTCTTGGCGACAGGGGCAAGTAACACTCCTCTTCATCACTGGCCGGCCCACAAGGGACCAACAGCAAGTGTCCGCTGGGTTGGGGCAGCGAAAGTACTCCGTGTGACGCTATCATGGTAGACACATGCCGTTATACATTCGTCCAAATCCACAGAAAGCCGCACTGAGAGCAGATCCTAGAGCTCAGTGGTTTAGGAAGCTGGATCCGCATGGCTGACGACAGCTTAAACATCAGCCCTGGAGGCTTAAAAACACACTGAGTGTGTATGTGTGTGTGTGCATGCACATGTCCAAAATCCCAACAGGATCAAGAAACAGGAGACGGGATGGTGACATGACCACATCTCACTGTAGAGCGCTTTCTCCCTCTTCCTCTCCATTTCTCTCTGGCAAGTACAAACGTCCTCTGGCAATAAATAAACAAATAAAATCTAAAAAAAAAAACCACCAAAAATGACCACTAATGTAAACTATAGGATTTCACATGGCTGGCAGCACAGATCAAGTCCCAGACCCAGCAGCCTGAAAAATACACCAGGAGCACATGCGTGTGTGCCCAAAATCCAGAGCAGAGAATGGAGGAGAAAGGATTATAGCATGGCCATCTCTGGGGGGGCTGGTAGGGGTACTTTCTCGCTATCTCTGTCTAGCAAGCACACACTCCCTATAGCAAATTAAAAGAATACTGTGGATGTTTACGATATGCCAATGTAAGTTTATCAATTGTAACAAATATACCACTTTGGGGACCAGCAGTTAGCGTAATGGCTATGTTGCTGGACTCTCAACCGCAGTTGAATCGCGGTTCGCGTCCCGGACCCGGTGGCTAAAAACTCACGCCGGGCGCCTGTGCATGCGTGCCCAAGATCCCGAGAGGAGAATGGAGGAGAAGGGATTGTGGCATGGCCATCCCCCCCTGGGGGGTGATTTCTCACTTTCTGTCTCTGGCAAGCTCACCGCCCTACCGCAAAAACCTCTCCCAAAAAAAAAAAAACAAAAAAACAAATATACCAATTTGGTGGAGAACATTAATGGGGAGGGCTACATATGAGCGGGACTATATGCCAAGTCTCCATAGTTTCCTCTTAATTTTGTTGTGAACCTAAACCTGATCTAAGAAGAGCAATTTTTTTTTTTTTTTTGGAGAGCTTTTTGTTATAGGGCACGTGCACTTGCCAAAAAGACAGAGACAGAAAGTGAGAAATCACCCCCAAGGGGGTATGGTCATGCCGCAATCCCTTCTCCTCCATTCTCCTCGGGATCTTGGGCACGCACGCACATGCTGATGTGAATTTAAGCCACAGGTCTGGGACTCGAACAACAGTCAACTACATGAGAGTCCAGCGACAAAGCCATTACGCCAACTGCTGGTCCCAAGAAGAGCAGCTTTGAGGGTAGGCTAGCAGTTGGCATAGCACTTATGCTGCTTGACTCCCACATGGCCAACCACAGTGCAAGATCTGATCCCAATGGCTTCAAACTCACACTGGGCACATGTGCATGAGTACCCAAGATCCCAAGAGAAGAATGGAGAAGGGACTGCAGTGTGGCTGTCCCCCCTGGAGGGCAATTTCTCACTTTCTGTCTCTCTCGCTCTCTCTCTGCCTTTCCGGTGAGCACATGTACCCTATAGCAAAAATCTCTCAAAAAATTTTTTTGTTTTCCTTAAAGTAAAAAAAAAAAAAAAAATCCATTGGATATGGATAAATAGGTAAATAGATGGATTCCAATTCTAGTTAACTCACTTAACTGCTATGAAATCTCAATCAGGTTATTAAATATCACAGCTGGTTAGTTATTCCACTTTAAGATAGAAAATATATTACTTTCAAGGTAGTATTCAAGAGTTAGTATAAGGATAAAATAAGAACACATATAAAATGCTGGATATAAAGTTATACTTTTCTCTTCATGAATTTCCCTGTCTCTCAATCTCATCTTTGTTATTAACCTTCAGATCATTTTTTTTTTTTTTGGAGAGGTTTTTGCTATAGGGTGTGTGTGCTCACCAGAAAAAGAGAGAGAGAGACAGAGACAGAAAGTGAGAAATTACCCCCCAGGGGGGATGGCCACGCTGCAGTCCCTTCTCCTCCGTTCTCCTCTTGGGCATGTACACACACGCCCCTGGCGTGAGTTTTAAGCCACCAGGTCCAAGACTCGAACTGCGGTTGACTACATGGGACATGGGAGTCTAGCGACATAGCCATTACGCCAACTACAGGTCCCAGATATTTAGATATTTTTTAAAAGAATTATTTTATCTAATTTTATTTATTAGTAGCATTTTTTAATTTCACCAGAGAGAGACAGACAGGGGGAAAGTGAGAAATCTGGGACTCAAACCATGGGCATTCATGTGGGCATCCAGCACCTTAACCACCACACCTGCTGGGACCAATATTCAGATCTTTAATTCCAGCCTATAATCTCAAATCCTATACCTCCAGCTGACTACAAGCCATTGGTAACTATGATCAATAATCTGAAATCCAAAATATCCAAGGCTGGGGCGCACAGGTGGTGTAGTGGTTAAGGTGCTAGATTACCACATGATCAACAGTGGTTCAAGTCCCAGACCAAAGTTTGAAACTCATGCTGGGTTCATGTGTGTGCACACCCCAAATCCCAGAATGAAGGAGAAGGGAATGCAGTGCAGCCATCTCCCCTGGGAGTTAATTTCTCACTTTCCCTCTCACTATCTCTCTGTGTGTCTCTTCAAGAGCATGTATCCTACTGCAAAACCCTTAAAAAAAATTTAAAAACCAAGCTCAATTTTTTGTCACTCTCCATCACTACTCCTGCCGTACATGACATTAAAACTACGGAATCACATTAGACTGTTTCGAATCATCAAGTCCTATTGATTGCTTTGTACCTACAAAGAGTAATGATGAAGATGACTAGCATTTACATTGTCCTTGCTATGTGCCAGGTACTTTTCTAAGGTATATACATCAACTTTTTTTTCTTTTTTCTTTTTTTTTTTGCTACAGGGCGCGTGCATTCACCAGAAAAACAGAGAGAGACTGAGAGACAGAAAGTGAGAAATCCCCCCCCAGGGGGAATGGCCATGCCACAATCCCTCCTCCTCCATCCTCCTCTCAGGATCTTGGGCACGCATGCACACACGCCTGGCATGAGTTTAAGCCACCAAGTCCAGGACGCAAACCCCGGTCGACTCCATGGGAGTCCAGCGACAGCCATTATGCCAACTGCTGGTCCCCAAACATCAACATTTTAATTCTCAGACAATCCAATGAGGTAGACCGAATTATTATCCCCATTTTAGAGGTAAGAAAACTAAGGCACAGAAGTTCCGTAACTTGCCTGAGTTATACTGCTAGTAAATGGCAGGGCTGGGATTAAAATCCAGGCAGCCTGGCGCCAAAGTCCATACTCTTAGCAAATACACTGCGCTACCACCAAACACTGCACTGCAGCTCTCCAAAAGCACTTGCAAATACACAGCAGTGAGGCTGAGACTTCTGAGTAGTCTTTAAGCTTCCAGGACTATCCAATCTGCAAATCAAAGTAAATACTGCACAGAAAACCACTGAGACTGGAAGGGATTAACCTACTTAGCATAATCCCACCCCCTGCCCAAGATCCTTGTACTCTGCTCACTCTGTCACCACTACAGGAGTAACCACCCGTGGGCACCACTCCCTTCCCTCCCCACCACCCCCTAAAGTTAAAAAAAACAATCTCCTGGGCTGGCAGGTGGCGTGATGATTAAGGCACAGGACTCCCACATGGCCGACTATGGTTCAAATTCTGGACCTGGCAGCTTGCTTTCTTACTTTCCCTTTTTCCCTCCCTCTGTCTCTCTGGTCAAATTTTAAAAAATAAATAATAACCACAAATAAAATTAAATTAATTTTTTAAAAAAGAAAACCAATCTTTCTCCCTTAAGTCAACAAAGATACGGTTATAAATTTGTAAATAAAAATTTTACTAAGCAGCTTAAGTAAAACTGAACAATAAAAATTCCACAAACCACAGAAATTAGAGAATTAACCAATTGCAAACTTACTTATTTAGTTAACGTTTTTGCTATAGGGCGAATATGCTCATGGAGAGATAGAAAGGGAAAGTGAGAAATCACCCCCCCAGGGACAATGGCCATGTCATAATCCCTTCTCCAGTCTCCTTTCAAGGTTTTGGGCATGTATGCACATGCACCTGGCATGATTTTCAGGTTGCCAGGTCTGGGACTTGCCCCATGGTCAGCCATGCGGGAATCCAGTGCCTTAACCACCATACCACCTGCTGGCCCCTATAATTTTTTTTAATTGCCAGAGGGCCTATGTGCTCACATAGAGAGAGAAATAAAGCAAGCAACCCCCTAGTAGGGCATGGCCATGCCTCATCCTTTCTCTTCCATTCCACTATCCTATTAGGATTCTGGGCATACACACACGTGCCCATATTTTTCAAGCTGTCGCTGGGGCCAGGATGCAAACTGGGTCAGCCACATGAGGTCTGGCTCCCTGTGCACGACACTAAGCGCTGCGCTATAGATCTGGTACTGACCCTAATTGTATCAACAGCCCTGCTCCTATATGAGCAAATGTGACCTAAATGTGTATACTGGAGTAGCTTTTTGGGTTTTATTAAATCTACGTCTGATGGGATCTCTGCCCACAGCTCTATTTCTCCAGAGCCACTCTCCCCACTCTCCATTTCCATACGTGGTCCCTAAAAAATGCTGCTCTAAACCAGAGTTTCTTGATCTCCACCCTGTGGCCATTTTAGGCAGGACAGCTTAGTCGTCAGGGGCTATCCTTGCACTGCGGGGTATTTCGGAGCATCCCTGGCCTCTGCCTATGAGACACCAGGAGCATCCATGGATCCTCCGTGATTTATGCAGCTTAAGGAAAACTGATCAGTAAAAATCTCACAGGTGCAACAACAAGCTATGTCTCCAGACTTTGCAACTTCTAGCTGAAAACCACTGCTCTACCTAGTAGTTCTCAATGTGTGATCCTAAGACCAGTAGCATCAGCATGCCCAGGAACTTGCTAGAAGGTAAACTCTCAGGCCTACTGACCTACTGCATCAGAACTTCCAGAAGAGCACAGTTATCTGTGTACTGGCTGACTTCCAGATGGCTCAGATGGAAGCTGAAGTTTGAAAACTATCTAAACCAAGGCCATCCTTGTGGACTGAAGGTAATTCTACTCTTTCCTAAGTCTCCATGGCTCTGCTCCAGCCCTCACTTCTCATCTAGTTCTTTATTTTTTTCCATTTTTGTTATAGGGTATGTGTGCTCACAGGAGACAGACAGAGACAGAGAAAGATGGGAGTGAGAAAGTGAGAAAGCATCCCTCAGGGGGTGACGGCCACATCACAATGTCTCCTCCTCCATTCTCCTCTCAGGACTTGGGGCATGCACACATGCCCAACAGTTTTCAAGCTGTTGCATCCCAGACATAAGCTGTGCTGTCAGCCCTGTGAGACCCAGCTGCCTTAACCCCCACACCAGCTGCTGGCCCCTGATCCACTTCTTTTGGTGCTGTGATTCAGCTGTAGCTTCATCCCAAGCCAGTTCTTAAGGCTGCTGCTGTTAGAGAACCTTCGTCTTGCTCTCTCACTTTCCCTTTCTCTCTGGCCAAATTAAAGTAATAATAATAATAATAAATATAGCTAAATAAAGGTAATTCCTTAAAAAACATTAAAAAAATAGAAATAGAATAGGGGCCAGCAGGTGGCATGATGGGTAAGGTGCTGGACTCCCACATGACTGACTGCAGTTTGAGTCCCAGACCCGATGAGAAAGCAGCTTGCTTTCTCATTTTCTTTCTTTCTCTGTCTCTCTGGTCAAATTAAGTAACAGTAATAATAAATAAAATCATTATTATTTTTTTTTTTGGAGAGGTTTTTGCTATAGGGCATGTGCGCTCACCAGACAGACAGAGAGAGAGAGATAGAAAGCGAGAAATCACCCACCAGGGGGGATGGCCACGCCCCAATCCCTTCTCCTCCATTCTCCTCTCGGGATTTTGGGCACGCACGCACATGCGCCCGGCGTGAGTTTAAGCCACCGGGTCCGGGACACGAACTGCGGTCAACTACGTGGGAGTCCAACGACATAGCAATTATGCTAACTGCTGGTCCCTAAAATCATTATTTTTAATAAATAAATAAATAAATAAAAATAGGTACCAGCAGATGGTGCAATGTTTATGTCACTGGACTCCCATGTAGTCAACCATGGTTTGAGACCCAGACCAGGTGGCTTAAAAGTCACTCTGGGCATGTATGCATGCAGGCCCAAAGTCCCAAGAGGGGAATGGAGAAAGGATGGCACCATGCCCATCCCCCCTCGGGGATGATTTCTCACTGTCTATGTTGCTTTCTGTCTCTGTCTCTCTCTCTCTCGTCTCTCTGGCAACCACACACACCCTAAACCAAAAAATATTTCTAAAAACAGAAAGAAAAAAGGTCCAGCAGGTGGCGTGGTAGTTAAGGTGCTGGACACTCCCACCTGGCCAACCACGGTTTAAGTCCTGGACCTGATGGTTTGCTTTCTCTCTCCTTCTATGTGTCTGTCTTTCTCTGGCCAAATGAAAATAAATGAATGAATAAATAAAATTAAATAATTTTTTTTTAAAAAAAAGTAAAAGAATCTTGAATTCTCCACCCAGCATTATAGGTTGGTGTCACCTGAGGCTCTGTGACCTCAGAGGCAGGGATCTTTCTCTAGGGTCCAAGAATCAGAAAGAAACCCTTCCACTCATCTTGCTCCAAAGCTCAGGTGTGTCTCTGCCTCCTCAGCCAATTCCCAGCTTTCTGTCTGCTCCTGCTCTCTCCTCATTCTGAGAAAGAAGCCCTAGCTGCAGGTCCTGGGCTACCGGCAACAGGGAGCCCTTTGGGTCTGGCAACCAGCTCCACTGCTGCCCAGGTTCTTCAGGGTGGCTCATTTTCCAGGTACTCTACAGGGAAGTGACCTTTCAGTACATTTTCTTGTATTTTTCAACTATGGTACCTTAAATATAGATCCCAGAACATCCAAGGATAGTGTCTATGATTAGAGTTCACATGGCAACTGACCCTGCACCACAACCCACTGTCAGAACCAACTTCCTGGATCTTATTTCTTCTTTGCTCAAAAATTGTCATTGTTCAAACAGTGTTAGCAGGTCAAAGTACAACTTTCTTAGTCAGGCTTCTCAGTCTTCCAGGGACGTGATAGGGCAGAGCAGTTCGGGGTTACATTCAACTAGGGTCCATTCCAGCTGGACCGTTCAGCAGCTGCGTCACCTGGAACAAGTCACCAAACCTCTCTCGACTTCCTGGTCTCTAAAATGTAACGGTAACTCTACCTCAGAGCATTGCTATTACAAGTCACTAGACTCATATATCTAAGCGCCAGGTTTATCACATAAAAGCAGGAGTTACTAAGACTTTTTTAAGAGAGATTTTTGCCAGAGGACATGTGCACCCGTCAGAGAAACAAAGAGAGAAAGTGAGAAATCACCCCCCGTAGGGATGGCCATGCCACAATCCCTTCTCCTCCATTCTCTCAGAACTTTGGGCATGCATTCACACGTGCCCGGTGTGAGTTTCAACTCACTGGGTCCAAGACTTGAACCGTAGCTGGCCATGTGGGAGTCCAGCGCCTTAACCACTGTACCACCTGCTGGCCCCAAAATTATTTTTTAATAAGCTATTTGGGGGCTTTACAACCCAGCAAGCTCTCCAAAGCAGGCATTTCAGACTTGGGCTATCCTTGATACAATAAACAGATCAGTTATCCTAGAAAGCTCACCCAAAATTCCTGTACCTCTGAACATGTAGTGCTGAGCAACAGAGGCCCCTCCCACCCCTCAACACCCTTGGCCAGACTCACTAGCCTCTCACCAACAGGACTGCCCAGCCCTCCCAAATCAGAGAACGTTCCCTCTGGTTCCAAACCTGGAACTAACCCACTATCTGGGGCTAAATGATTTCAAAAGTCTCTCTTACATCTAAAATTCTAAAAAAAGAATCATTTAAAAAAGCATCAGGATCCAAGCTAATTACATTATCAATCACGAGTGAATAATATTAAGCAACTCTGAAGTACTAATGTAAATCACCTAGAAAGTCGTGTGCATTCTTGCCCAGAAACTGCTTCTGTAAAGGTGCGCTTGCGTTCATAAGCATCTATATTATCATTAATGCATCTCCCTCATTTGACTTCTCACCAACTGCTCCTTGTTTCCATGGAAACAGCCCTTCCACTCATCAGGGACCTACCAAACACACGACTACATCATCCACTCTCTCCCCCAAACCAAGGAAATCACAGCACAGGTAGAATCCACACGAGAGAGCATGAAAACAAGCCCACGGTGGGCACAGGCCTCTCTGTCTCCTGCACGTCCAGCTTCACACGTCCCCTACCCTGTGAGGCTCCCTCAGCTCGCTCCGCCCTCCTAGATACCAGTCTCTATCCCCACGCTCTCACCATGTTGGAAATGCTGCGGGTATTGGCGGGGTTCAGCATGACAATCTCAGTGGTGATGTGGCCCTCCACCGCCTCCGTCATCTCATCCACCGTGCAGTTGATGGATGGGTCATAGGTCTTGAACCAGTTGTCTGCATACCACCCAATGAGGAACCAGACGTACTTCTTCCCAAAGAGACGCTCCTTATACACCTGAATACAGAAGCAGAAACGGGTTTTTGTTTTCTCTTTTGATCTCTCACTTAGCACGTTGCAGCCTCTTGGGAATCAGAAAAGAGCAGAATTAAAAAGAGAAATATAGGGGCCAGCAGATGGCATGGTAATTAAGGCAGTGGATTCTCACATGGCCAACCCTGGTTTGAGTCCTGGACCCAGGGGTTTGAAAAAGCACACCGGACAAGTATGTGCACACGCCCAAAATCCCAACAGGAGAATGGAGAAGGGATTATGGTATGGCCATGCCCCCTAGGGTAATTTCTCACTTTCCCTCTCTATTTCTCTGTTTACTTCCAGAAAGCACATGCACTCTATGGCAAAAACCTAAAAAAAAAAAAGAGAGAGAGAGAGAGAGCGCAAAATCTTCAAGTCTTGGGAATGGTAGGAAACAACTACTTCTAAACTCTTGCCTAGTCCCTCTATTCCTGAGTGGCTTTTCCAGTCAGTCAGGAAATATGGGACTTACAGGCTTCTCAGGAAACACAAGTGGCACAAAAATGAGATCTGGGTAAAGTGTGTGTGTGTGTGTGTGTGTGTGTGTGTGTGCGTGCGTGTGTGTGTGTGCGTGTGTGTATAGAAAGGGATATAATCAGCACCTCAGATCATTTGCTATCAACTTGAGCAGAGACACAGAGAGGCGGTCCCTAGAGAAAGCCAAGGCAGAGAGCCCACCCAGTCCCACCCCCTCATATTCCAGCTCCACCTCACAAAAAACTTTCCGGGCTTCAGTCTCGTAGAAGAGTCCCACGATGATCCGAGCATCCTGGCGCTACAGAACAGAGAGAGAAACAGAGCTCCTGAGGGATGCCTGGGAACGCCTGAGGGGCTAAGCCAGGCACTTTCACAGCTTTGATTTCTCGTCCTGAAGTGTTTAGAGTCGGGGCATGTTCAATGGGTAGTGAATAAACGTCAGCTGGAAGATGGAGCTAAATTTCCCCCAGGAGATGCCACTGCCTCATGGAAGCAAACCTGCCCTCGCCCGGCTCTCCTCTCCAGCTGACCCCTGCCCCTGCCCAGCTCCCCTCTCCAGCTGACCCCTGCCCAGTCCCTCTGCAGGCTGAGCCCTCCACACCAGGTCCGCACCTTGAGGTTTTTGACAGGCACAGCTGGATCTGAGAAGAAACTCTGACGGAACGTAATCTCGATTCCAGCCTCCTTCACTCGTTCCTCCAGGTCGTCCAGAGTCTAGAATGGGAATGAAAAACAAGTGTAGGGAGAGTTCAAAGGAAAATACCTGCAGTCTCAGAACACAGCTTCCAAGTGAGAAAGTGCATGGAGAGCCCCTCCTGAGGCTCTGTGACCAGGGAACACACCCCACTCACCCCACTCATACCAAGCACTGCAAAATGGGAGGGAAAAAATAGAACCACCAGCAAAAGACAGGGCAGGGTCTGGTCTAGAGAGAATAATGTGAACCTCAAGAGGCAGCAAGTGAGCAGACAGACAAAATGATCAGAGAAGAATGGTCTGAATCACTGAGAAAAGGTGGGGGAGGATTAAAGGGCCACTGATATAAAACGGCGGAGGGCCCAGTGAACAGAACAGAGGGAGGGAGCAGACTCCTTCCGATATAAAGCCATGTATTTCCCCTCTGCCTCCATAAGCCCCCACTCCTCCTTCAACATCTCGTCTGTCAGCATCTCTCTCGGTGTCAACCACTGGGCCCACGGACCTGTCTGCCTCCTTCTGCTCTCTTCTTCCTCTCTCCCTTTCTCTCCTCTCTCTGCCCTTGCCCTCTGTTCCCACTCACAGTCGTCCATGACCCCCTTGGGTGCTTCTCATTTCATATCCTCTTGTTTTTCTTGCTTCAGCCATGGATTGAACCCACTTTAGCAGAGCTGAATCATCTGGGGTCTTACTTTCTAAAGAATACAGCATCGTAAGCAAAAAAAAAAAAAATTTTTTTTTTTTTGGCGAGGTTTTTGCTATAGGGCGTGTGCACTCACCAGAAAGACAGAGAGAGACAGAGAGACAGCAAG